TTTTCCTTCGTATTTCTGTATTTAATCGTTTGTAATCGATTGTGTTCTTATTTTTGTATTTCCTCCTTTCGTCTATCATCTTAATGATAGAATAGCACAGAATAGAACAGAATAGCTGGTGTCATCCAGTCTTTTTTTGCCATTAATCGTGTATTTGGAATTTCTTCCCTTGCAGAATTGACGAGGATGGATTTTATTTGTTGCCAAGTTGTATTTATATTTTGGATATTTATTTGGGTTCGGTCTATTTCTGAAAGTTTTTCATTTAGTTTTACAGTGGTTTTATCTTTAATCTGTACATCTTTTAGTAGTTCCATATAAGGTTTGTTCTCCGGCTTTGCATTTTTTATTACATTTAATTCTTGTGCGAATATTTGTTACTACAGGGTTGTGGTCGGAATTTGCATCAGCACTAGGATATGTTTTTGTACTTGTAATGGAGTTACGAAATCGTTGGTTGATTAAAACATAATCTATTTGATTTCTTATTATTCTTTCTTTTGTGTGTAGCGGGGATGTCCATGTGTATAACCTACGTTAAGTTAACTTAAATCAAGTGTTTGTTGCTATCATATTGTGTTGCTGGCAAAACTCTAATAGTCTGTCTCCTCTTTCATTTCGTTCTCCTAGTCCGTATTCTCCTACGATATTTTGGAATTTCCCTCTTCCTATTTTAGCGTTAAAATCTCCTAGGACGATGTTAATATCTTCTTTCTTTGTCAATTCCATGAGCTTTTGTAGATCTTCATACCATTCTTCTAGTATGTCATCTGGCTTATCTGCGGTTGGTGCATAGACCTGAATAATATTCACATTAAAAGGAGAACTCCTTATTTGCAACAGCATTGCTCTGTCAGAGAGTGGTATAAAGTTTGAAACTGCGTTACTCAATTCATCGTTTATTATTACACCTACTTCATTAAAATGTTTTGGATCATTGTTGCCTGAATAATAGAGTGTTTTGTTCATAATTTTTGTTCTTCCTGAGTTAGGCCATCTAACTTCACTCAGACCTAAAATATCTATATTCAATCTGTTCATATCTTGGCACACGTTTGCTAGCTTTCCAGCCTCATAAAGGCTTCTGACGTTCCAGGTCGCTACTTGATGTCATTGTTTGTTTTAGTTTTGTATTTGTTTTTGTTCCTCCCGGGATTCTTAGCACCCCTTGAACATTTAAGTTCTGCCGGGCACTGGGGGCCATCGATTAGTTCCATTTACCATCATAACTTTCTTGGGAAAATTAATGAGGTGGTTTCCCATTGCCTTCCTCATGTTTTCTGTCGGGGTTTTCTCCCTTATCCGGAGTGTTCCAGTTTTAAGGCGCCGGAAGCTCACCTTTCGCCCTTTCCCGTTAGCGTTACCCAGGAAGTACCACGTGGAGGTGGGAATCGGACTTGCTAACAGACGTAATGTTTAACTATTCATCCAGGTTTTATTGCCACATACCTTCCGGTAAGACATGTGATCCCAGAGGTCTATTGTTAGCCTTTCTACTGTATGTTGCAAAATTTATTTTAGAATAAATAATAACTGCCCGGCCGGCCAATAACTCTTTGTATACCTAGATTATTGATATAATTATTGGCATAATAAATTCGCGCGTTTTTTGTTATCTAAAAATGTTTGGAGTCTAAAATTTGATCAGTTATAACCTTAGTTTAATATATCATGATAAATTATATCTATATCTACAACGATTAACTTTACAGTGGATCAAAAACAAGTGTACAATCCTTACGAAAGTCGTAAGCCTGTGAACAACTAAACTGACGACAGCAAGAAGTAACCACACCCTTTAAGCACTTTATTGTGACTGTAGCCAGACAAAACTGTAGGAGAACAGTAAGCAACGTTGTCAAAATTATTCTGTAGATTTGATTTATTTCAGTAACAGCAGAGATTCTTAATGTTTGGGAAAGTATGTGCGAATTCATTTCATATTTTTACAGTTAATATTTTTTCTGTTACGGTACTGTAATGTGATCTAATTTAGTGCTGTATTTTAAAGACCTTTTTGAAATATATTGTTTCCTGTTGTCTTTCGTAAAACTTAAACTGGCTATGTCATTTGTCATGTTGAAGTACACAGAATTTGGCTTTTTCCTTTGTATTCAAGATAAAGATTCAAATACAAAGATCGAAACAAGCGGTTGATTTATGGCATGCTCGGCCTACGAGATGTTGACCATCCAACCAGAGGGTGGTTTGTGCCCGAAACGCTCTCAAACCCTCAAGATTGGCACTTCTTCGTCAGACAACGATCTATCGACACACATCTAGTTCCGGACGGTTATTATAAGCCTTATAATTCTTTGTACAAAACATTGATAATGAGTAAACCAGTTAATTCTGTAATTTATTTACAATTTATAGTTGCTATTTTCACCAATTTTATGTACCAACCAATATTGCATTTTTCATTATAATTATTTATCTGATATAATTTAACCAGCGACCTCTCATTATACAAAAAATGTGAATGGGACATCAGTGATTCCCAGTTCGGGTTTAGGCAAGGTTTAGGAACACGAGAAGCAATAGTAGCAACACAGGTGCTGGTCCAAAATTGTTACGATCAGAGGAAGGATATGTTCCTATGCTTTTTAGATTACCAAAAAGCGTTTGATCGTGTCCAACACCACAAGTTAATGCAGATTCTCAAGAAAGTTGATATAGACCAAAAAGACATAAGATGCATTGAAAACTTGTACTGGCATCAAACGGCACAGCTAAAAATAGACAATTCTATATCCAAGCCCATACATATAAGAAGAGGCGTTCGACAGGGATGTGTGCTTTCCCCTCTTTTATTTAACATTTATTCGGAAGCCATATTTCAAGAGTCTTTGGAGGATGCAGAGATGGGAATCAAGGTGAATGGAGTATTGATCAACAACATACGATATGCTGATGATGGTGTCTTAATTTGTGACAACATAGTCGATCTTCAACAACTTGTCACTATAATCGGAGAATACAGTGAGCGAATGGGACTAGAGATTAATACCAAAAAGACCAAATTCATGATCATCTCCAGAAACTTGGATGCACTTGAAAACTCTACCATAACACTGAATAGTAAATCCATAGAAAGAGTGAGTAAATTTAAATACCTGGGATCGTGGCTTTTTGAAGACTGGGCATCGGACAGGGAAGTAAAATGTCGCATTGAGCAAGCTCGACAAGCTTTCGTAAAATTCAAGAAGGTACTGACTTGTTCAGAGTTCGATCTTCAACTGAGACTAAGGTTTACTAAGTGTTACGTATGGTCAGTGCTGCTATATGGCGTAGAGGGCTGGACACTCAAAACGAGGGATATAAACAGATTGGAAGCTTTCGAAATGTGGCTTTATCGCCGTATCCTAAAAATACCATGGACAGCAAAAATCACAAATATAGATGTCCTTAAAAGAATAAACCAAGAACGAGAACTTTTGAAACCATCAAGAAAAGGAAAACGGCGTATCTAGGTCACATCATGCGAAATGAAAAATACCAGTTCCTCCAACTTATAATCGAGGGTAAAATTGAAGGCAAGAGAGGAATGGGATGCAAGAAAATGTCCTGGCTCCGAAACATAAGGCAATGGACAGGGATTAACGACATACAATCTCTGATACATATTGCAAGAAATAGAGAATTAATGGAAAATGTGATCGCTAACATCCATTAGTGGATTTGCATCTGAAGAAGAAGAAGACCTCTCAAGTTTAATCCTAAACACTTACTATTTATAAATTTATGTTAATATGGCCAATCACTATAGCATGGCCAACGACTGTATCATTTACCCTAGTATAGAACTTTTTCTAAAATACCAGGGTGCTCCCAAGCTTACAGAAGAAAAGAAAAAGGACTTACTTGCCTCACAAGCGTGCTTTACAAGAAGCTATAAGTAAAGGAATTAGTACAACTGACGTCGAAGAAACTGTAGACGACGAAAATCAAATTGAGTTTAATTGAAGTATTATTTGTGAATTTTGCAAATTATTTTACTGCTATTAGCTTTCACATTCTTTGTTAACAAAACTATGTTTATTTTTGTAGAATAAAAATATTAAATCCCCTCTTTTTAATTTTTACCTTTTAATAAGGGTTACCTACCTTTTAATAACGGTATAACTTGATGGGATTAAGCTACAATTGGTTGTAATAATAATGAAATTTAAAAAAACTTGTTCTTTCTTAAAAAAAAAATAATTATCATTACAGCTAATTGTGGCTAAATACCATTACACTATACCTTTATCAAACATGTCACAAATAAATAGCTTTAGGACTTATCCTCTTTTAAGTTTTGTTAATAAAATAAAACTCGTTCGCCCTTACTATTCTAACATGTTTTAACCTTTATACTCAGTTTTCCAGAAACGTGTTTTTGTAGTTCGCCTTTACGCTTCCAAGCTCCTGAATTGTTTTATCCAAGCAGCCCTGCCAAAATTTTATCTTGTACATCTCTACTCATTGAATTTCGTCGAAATGGATTTAAACACAATTTAAATGAGGGCTGAATTATTACTGTCAATGCTTTAATACAATCCAATTTTCATAGTTCAAGTAAAACGTTTTTCAGCAATTGTGAAATATGAAATATTACCTAAAGTGGAAACGGCGAGTTTTGGAATGAAAACCCTCGTATATTAAGCATATAGAGCCATATGCTAAATAAATAAATATTTTGAGAAAACGAATAAAAATGAGTTTATTTTAAAACAGTCGTTTACAAATATTTTTATAACAAAGTAAAAGAGTTTGAAAATATAAAATAATATCCTATCTTCTATAAGCTTTTGACTTTCTAGTTCCATTTATTTAATTATTATATCATCTAATGAAGTTCATTTTAATTAATTTTATAATTTTACATGAATATATTATATTAGAACTGATAAAAACACATTTATCTGTAGCGTTTTTTTTTATCATCTTGGTATAATATTATCATAGCCGCTATTTTTTATTCTCGTTGCCATAACAACCAGACTGAATGTTACTTCAATGTCACGCAAAAATAAACCAGCGCAGCACAGCTCTTTAAAAACCGTCGGCGTTGAAAATTTATCGTCAGTAGAAATACAAACTTCGAGTGGATAACATCTAAGTGAGAAAACGGTATAACAGAAGTCGTTGACCTTGATGTTCCGCGAAAACTACCGAGCTTGCAGTTCGTGAGTGAACAGGAGTGCATGCCTCTGCGCTCCGCCATTGTGCCGTCATTAATCTCTATCCCTACTCTGTTCGTTTGTGGAGAGGGAGAATGTATAATGTCGTGCTGTAACTCGGTTGCCATCTTGTTCGGAGTAAATTTGGTATAGAATGGTTTAGAATTAGAAACACGTTACGGTATAGTGACTGGCTGGGTAGTTTAGAAACAATTATCGTTTAGTGAAAAAAATAAAACTATGGATGATACTAGCGCTGATCAATGCAGACTTTGTTTGTCACAAAAAGAACTAGTTTCAGTGTTTAACTGTGATAATGTAAAAGCTAAAAAAATGGAGGAGTTAATATTGTTAACAACTGGAGTTGAGGTACATATTTTTTTTATATTTCTTATTTTATTGTCATAAGAGCGTGATTTATAAATGTTTGAGGCTTATAATTAGGTAGATTACTCCGGAAAAATGTATGTTGACATTAGCGGAAGTAGCTTATTTTTAAAATCATGCGCAGTTTCTCATTCTGGGCGTATATCCTGTTACAATGAACGAACCTATGACGTCAAGCTTGCGTCGTGTTGCCATGTCTGTTTGTCAGTATTTTTTAGATAGTTCAAGTGTACCTAATCATAGAAACTAGTGAATTAATTTTTATGAATAAAATGAACTAGTAATTTTATTTTTCAATCAATTAATTCTTAATCTGCTACTATAATCAACTCTAAAATTTAATTTTTTAATACTTATTAATAATACTAAAAGTATAAAGAACGGCACATAGCATTTGGGGAGTGCCGTTAGAAGTGAATACTTTGTATAGAGAGTTTTTATTATAGATATGCGAATTGTTAATATTTTTGAAGTAAATACTTTTTATCGCTCGGGATGACGTTGTCGCGGGTACGAAGTCCTATTTAGTGTGACTCGAAAAATCGATACGGGTTAACCTTGCGGTATACCATAATTTATACTTCTTATTATAATTTTATATAATATATTTTTTTATAACAATTAGAGAACAACTGGATATATTTAGTTTATTTGACTTTAAAACATTTGTATAAAATAAAATTAAACAAAATTATAGAAAATTATAAAAAAAGAAAAAATTAAAGAAAATTGTAAAATTAAATAAAAATATATTAACTTAAAGAAAATTATAAAAAATACTAAAATTTTTTAAAAATTAAATAAAAATAAATAAAACTACTTAAATAAAATTCAATAAATATGTATAAAAAAAATTTAATAAAATTATAAAACAAAAAAAAATACAAAAAATTATAAAAACAGAAAGTTGTTAAAAATTAAAAATAATTCTAAAAAATTTAAAATGGGGAAAGCCGATAAAAGTGAATACTTCGTGTAGCGCGTTATTGTTATAGATATGTGAGTTAATGAAATTTTATATTTGCTTATTACTGAGTTGCTACTATTTTTGAAGTGAATACTTCTTAGCGCACGGTATGATTTTTCACGTGTACGATATCCTATTTATGGTGACACAAAATCGATACTTGGCCTTAAAATATTTGTATAAAATAAACTAAATGAAATTAAAAAAAAATTATATAAAATTATAAAAATTTAATTACGGAAAAATATAGAAAATTAAGTATAGTACATACTAATAAATTATATAAATTAAATTAAAAAAATATATAAAAAATTTAATACATTTTTTTAAAAACAAAATTTTAAAACAGAAATACAAAAAGTAATAAAACAATATATAAAATTGTAAAAAATTATAAATATTTTTAAAAAAAATTAAAAATTTATATAATTAAAAATTATATAAAATGAAATTTTACAAAATTAAATAAAATTTAAAAAATACCTAAAATTAAAAATAAATATAAAAGTTATAAAAAATTATATCAAATAATAAAATTTATAATAAAAAAATATATAAAATTCTAAAAAATTATAAATAATTCTAAAAAAATTTAAACATAAAATAAAATTTTACAAAATTAAATAAAATTAAAAAACTACATAAAATTAAAAATAAATATAAAAGTTATAAAAATTATATAAAATAATAAAATTTAAAATTTTTTTTGAAAATCTTAAAAATTAAGTATATTAAATTATATACCATAAAAAATACAAAAAATTTAAAAAAAAGTTTAAAAAAATATATAATTGTAATAAAATTTTCAAAAGTTATAAAAATTTTAACAATTAAATAAAATTAAATGGATATAAAAGTTATAAAACATTATAAGAAAATACCTACAAAAAGTTACAAAAAATATATAAAATTGTAAAAAATTATAAATAATTCTAAGAAATTATATACAAATTTTTAAAAATTAAATAAAATTCGAAAAACTTAAATAAAATAATTAAAATAAAGAAAAGTTTATTTTGGAAACTTACAGTCGTTAAGTGTTAAGTCGTATAAGTATTTTTAAATGAAATGTTTTCAATGAAAATGAATCAGTATACCCTCTTATTATTCACGATTATTTTTAGAATATAATGAGGAAAATTTAAAAAAACAATTTTTTCTTTAAAACATTTATTTAATGATTATTATCTTGTACTTATCTTTAATTAGTTCATTTTGATTATCATAATATTTCATTAAAATTGATTTTAAAAAACCGGTGTGTGGTACACCTAAAGTGGCCGATGAGAGGAAGCATAGCTTTCTTATCGTCTAAGCTCGGGTGCGATGGTTTTTAATTTAATTTTATTTTTTATTTATTTATCGATTCTATTTGATTCGATTAGATTTTTTTTATTTTATTATTTTAATTTATTTTATTTTAGTATATATTATTAAGAAATGCGCATGGGACTGGGTTTACTACTCTTCGTATTGCATTTCTTTTGGTTTTATTTTTTCACACAGCTCTACCCATTGCACCGATCTATGAATTCCGTCCATAGCCTGCGATAAGAAAGCTATTCAAAAAAATAAATAAATAAATAACGGAATATGGCACTCCTGGAGTGACAGAGGAAGAAAAGCATAGTTTTCTCATCGGCTACTCAAGGAGTGATGGTTTTTAATTTAAATTATATTATTCGACTCTATTCGATTGAGATTCGATTTTATTTTAATTTTTATTTTTTTATTTTATTTTTATTTTTTATTTTATTTGTTAAGTAAATGTCATTATATTTTATAATAAGTGTATATATGTATGTATATTACTATATAACGCAAAATTACTGCACGCGTCTCAATATTTCGAGTCACGCTAATTATTATTTCGGGTCCGTGCAAAAACATACAAAAGCGATTAAAAGTATTCACTTCAAAAATCATATATCCAGCTACTTTTATAAGTTGCGGTGTACTTCAACTAGAATGAGTTGATATTTAACAAATAGCAACCAATAGCCATATATTCGTTATATCGAACCGTCATACACATGCGAGTAAGATTTCAAGTTTGTATGAAATCCAAACCAAGGACGCTTATAAACACAACTACTGACTTTTTATTAAAAATGTGTAGAACATTACGATGGTATATTGCGGTGTTGCCATATAGCTAATTTGTCAGGAATTTTCTAACTTCGTGCATTGTGCTTTTTTAAATCTAGGATAAGAATTCACACTGTTTACCGTTATGATAACTCCTAGCGCCACGTAGGAAAGAAATCTGATCTACCAACTGACATTTCAGTCATATTTTGTTTTTGAAAGGATACGGTTGATTTATTTATTCTACAAACTGATGATTCAAATATTTTTTGAGTGTTTTGGATAGAATAGTTCGTCGGATCGTGACGTATGATACATCATTTAAAAGGAAAGGAGATAAAGAATATGCTGAGACAGAAAAACTCATGTCGGCATTGCCAAAAGGGCATTACATCATATCTCCGTTTTTATTGGTCCGATTGGAGCGAGTAATGTGTTAAATAAAAGGAGAGGATATAACGAATATATAAAGATTGAAAAAACAAACAAGGCGACTATCAACAAAAGGGCACTAGACAATATCTTCATTATTAATGAACGTGTGATGACATGAGATGAGATATTATACGAGATATTTACTATATAAGAATCTTTGATTTATTGGCTTAAAGAAGGCCTCTGACTCAGCACAAAATAAACATGTCGAATCACCACTTAATCGAATCCTAACATGCGACATGCGAAAATGATAGGGAAGGATATAACGAATATATTAAGGTAGAAAAAACAGAAAAGATGACTAACAAAAGGGTACTACACAGCATATTCGTTATTAATGAACGTCTAGCGACTTACGAGATATCATAGGTCACCATGAAAAAAAAAATGATTTACTATAAGACAAAATTTTAAGTTATTGACTTAAAGAAGGCCTTTGGCTGAGCACAAAATAAAATCTGATCGAATCGTAATATGCGACATAGCAAATTAAAGGTGAGGATGTGTCGAATACATTAAGGGAAAAGAACAAACGGTGCGACTACCAAAAGAGTACTACACTGTATCTGAATTATTAATTAATGTTTAGCAACATACGAGATATCATAGGGTGCTATGGGTGATAATAGATACACCATGAGGTAAATTTGCTTTATGAGATGACCTGACGAAGGCCGAACAAACAACTACCCGAATCCTAGCATATGACACATCAAATCAAACGACCTGAGACGTATAAGTACATAATAATGTGTACAGCGTGCAAATCATATATATATATATATATATATATATATATATATATATATATATATATATTATTGTGATATTTAAAGTCTTGGTGCACCAAGCAATTAGTTAGCTAATTAGTTAATTAATTAATTAAAATTATTTAAATGATATGATTATGACTCTATCACACTTTTTGATTCTCTTATCTCAGGGTTAAATTCGTGCTTCAATATCTATGCTATTACATGTGAAAGGTAAGGTCCAAAGAATACCGGAATAATAAAAAAAAACATATAGGATCTAACGTTATATATTGAAATAAAATAATGGAATAAAATTCACACTCAAATGTTTTCAATAAACAAAATCTGATATAATGATTCTCAAAATTTTGTTCTACGTACGTGAACCTTCAAAATTAATGGTACAAACAATATTAGTTGAAATCTCAAAATCCAAATATTATTCTTAATCTCCTAATCAAAATATTTATATCCTTTTTTTTAAGTGTAAAAAATTGTGTTATCAATAAAAGAAAAACTGCAGTAAACAAACTATCTCTCTCTGATGATGAGTGGTCCAAATCCTTGTTCCTTGTAGACTATACTATTTACTCGTAGCCGCTCCCTAGGTAATCAGCAATCTTACAACAAATTATTGCAAGTTTATCGTCCTTAATGATCTCCTTCAAATGCACGAATCGTTCAAATTATGCTAGCTTCTTCTTCTCTCAATAAACTGAATCTCTCGTTGGCCT